TGGTGCGAGCCCTGAGATCGGTGTTTTGCCCCGGGGGGTTTGTACTTACTTGGCTTCCATTTGGCGCCATCAGAAACTGTGAGATGCGATTGCGTTTGTGGTGTCAGGACCACACCAGGATGCACGGCATAAAAAACCAGGCCAGACTTGGCGTAGTCATTGTGCAAGGTTTCGATGAGCCGATTCTGCGCCAACTTGGAAATGTTGTATGCCATTGGCGTGAAGCCGCTGTTGGGGAAGTGGGAAGTGACCGAGCTGATGGCAATGAACGCTTGCGCCCCGTTGGGTGAAGACTTGAGGAGTGGAATGAAGTATTTGGCCAGATAATAGGAGCCCACGAAGTTGATGTCGATGACGCTTGGGAGGTCCAAGTCCTCTTCAACGTTGTACGGAAGACGAGTCGAGCCATCTTCGGCGGTATAATACTTGCCCATCACGCCGGCATTGGCAATCACGACATCGGCTCTCCCAAATCGAGCCTTAGTTTCCGCCGCCAATTTGGCAACGTCGGCGTCTTTGGCCGTATCCGCCACAAGCGCGAGCACGTTGATGGAAGAGTTGACGGCTTTCAATTGACGGCTGAGCTCGTCGAGGTCGGACTGGGTGCGGGATGAGACGACCAAGCCGCTGGCACCGGCTTTGGCATAGGCAAGAGCGGTGTGGAAGCCCAATCCCTTGCCGGCGCCGGTCACGACCACAACGAAAGGCTTCGTGGGGACAGGGTTATTCGAAGGCAAGGTAGGGCCCTCGGGCTTGTTGTGCAGCGTGGGCGTGACTCGGAAGCCGAAGGAAGGAGGGAAGTGCGCCATTGCTGCGGAGGTTCTGGAGAAATGAGTTCAGAATTCGATGTCTGGAAGACACAGGTTTGGTATCGGGATCTCGTTGGTGATGGAGGTGTGTGATTGAAGATGGTCGTGCCGTGCAGGTGAGAGACTGCTGTTCACTGTTTGAGTTGACTGACCTTCTTCGACGTTGGTGCCATGCGGGTCCCTTTATACCTCTCCGCACCCATTGCCTCAGACTTCTCTCCCCTGACATATAGCCGACAGCTGCGAAGCCATCAGTGCGACATTTTTGTCGAGCTGACGAAGCGGAAGCAGATCTCGAGAGCATTGCCGCAGATTCGATTTGGCGTAGAGCATAAGGAGAAGGGACGATTTACTTCGACAATGACAAAGCAGCAAGCAGGAGTTCCTCGAAGGATTGATACCGCCGTCATTGTGGCAGGGGGAGTCTCCTAGGAGAAGGCTGCAGCGGGTTGGCGCAATGTAGGTACCTAATTACATACACTACGAGCCAGCGAAGCAGACTGCCGCGTGCCTGATTGTGTGCCTTGGAAGCTGGCTGTTCGCAAAAGCACCAGCGAGCAAGTGTACAGGAGGGCGATGAGTATATGATTACCTTCAGTCATCACGACAAAACGGTTTAATGATAACGGCGCTGAGATGAAGCGGATAGACGTCGGAGGCAAATGTGTTCTAATGCGCTCTCGAATCCCACGGCACCAGAAGCCAATTGCAAAAGGGTTTAACGCACGGATAACCACCGGGCTGAGACCAAGCCAGGGTCGAGCTCGCATTGAGAGGGAACTGAGCAGCGGGATCAAGGTACAGTGTCCAGGTACACGAACGCTTAAGTGTGCCCCCTGTGTCCCTTTTTTCTGGAGAAGATGGGCATTATTTCGATTGGAACAGGCCTCCATGACATACATATTTGCCACATGGCTCCTCCTCCATGAAAGGAAGGGGGAGAAAGCTAGACCATTGACTAGGAAAACGCTACAGGACTGGCCAAAAAAATGTCATCCTATCCCTTGCCTCTGGCGACTCCTTGCGTCGCCCTCGAAAATGCTAGTCGGTAACCCGACGCAAGGCTGAACGTTTTTTTCCCCTGCTCTGGCGAGACAGTGTCAATCGCTGTCGTTGCGTTGGTGAAGCCCAAATTCGGGCCCAGCTCTATTCTGGATTAGACAGGCAGCTTACTTGCTTTCTCGCTTGACCATCGTGGCCCCTGGCTCTGGCCCCGGCTGGTGGGCTAACATGGTACACCTGTTGTCATAGCTTACATACACACACGCTGACACATGTGGCATCCATAGTGAGTGGTGAGTGAGTGGTGAGTGAGTGAGGGTCCACTCACTCGCTCTGGCGCTCTTTGCCTCAAGCGGATGTGTCCCGTCAGCCGCTTGCAGTCGCATGCATGCCACAGAGGACCGGTACGAGTATTATTATTATTAGAATTAGCGAGAAGAGATGGTTCCCGAGAAGAGCCAAAAACAGGGGGGTGCCAGGTCTGCCAGGGCCTGGGCATGGGCTGCTAGGCGTTATGGACGTCAATACTGTAAAAGGTGCTCTTGCGGGCCAATGCATCATCATGGAAGGGACCGCGGTTGTGTGCCAAAGGGCTGTTGTGCTGGGCTGTTCCTATGTTACCTATGCATGGGTTTGGGGTCTGGCCTCGGGGTCTGGTGTGGTGCGATCAGTAATCATTAGTCGTGTGGAGGGCCTCACAAGCCTGCTCTTGCTCGGAAGTATAAGCGCGTTCTACTGGGTATACACGGGTATAGATGCAGTTAAGTATCGATCTTGCATGCTGAGGTGGTGCTGGGGTACACATCATGTGGATTATGAGATGGTGATCTTCTGACGGACCTCAGACAGAACAGGGAATGGGGAAAACGTGGAAAGGGTAATAAATAAAAAGGAAGATCCCAAGAGGAGAAAAGAAAAGAAAGGAAAAACCGAGAGTCTAGACATTGAAGTTTGGGCCATCGGCCTGAGGCCGGATTGCACACGCTACACTCACACAACGATAGGACACTTGACGGCGCCCTCCAACAGCGCAATCAGCTCTCTCACATCGCTCAGCATCTCCAGGCTCAACACACACTTCTCGATCTGATCCCGCCTCTCCTCGTCAAGCACGTCCCGCATGAGCATCCGCCACTTACTCACAATGTCCTCGTCGGTCGCGGGGGGAATAATGCCCCTGGGACCCTCGACCTGGGCCTCGACCGTTTCTCCGCCGACAAACCGCACCGCGACAACCGTCCGCCACCCCTTACGCCGGTCGCCGTCGAACTCTGGGTTGTGCGTCGGGGTTATTTTAGCCATCAGATCGCGCAGGAGCGGGCGGTTCAGCCTGTCCGCGCCAAACTGCGCCATGAGGACTTCGTGGTCGACCAGCTGCGCGGCCGCCGCGTATTGGATCGACATTTGCGCCGCGGTCGAGGAGAGCGGTTTATTCACCGGCGCGGTCCAGCCGCCGTGCTCGAATGCCGGCTTGGAGTGCTGAGTCGTAATCGCCTCAATGTTCCTTAGGTTCTCGGCCGCGAAGAGCTGCGCGTGTTCTCGCTGTAGCTTCTCGATACAGTCGACCGTCCCATGTAGGCCCGCCATGGCGGCGTGCAGCTTGACTCGTATATCGTGTAGTTCCCACTTCTCCCCAAGCCCATTAATGAGCTCGTCAGGAAGGGACTTTGGGTTAAAATTGGTCACTCCCTCAGAAAACATGGAGAGAAATCCGCCGTAGGGAGTCTCGTAGACTTCCTGGATCCCAGTATACCCTTCTTTCGCGAGCAAGGCTGCGAAGAGACCGTTACGCGACGCGAAGCCGTGTTGCATACGTTTTGCCATGGAACCGAATTGCGCCGACATTAATCCACCGGCTTGTGTACAGGCTATCCCCAGTGCGGACTCAATGTAACCTGGCGGCAAGTCCAACAGCGAGGCTACTGCGGCGGCAGAGGCTGAGGGCCCTTGGACGGCCCCGGAATGCCAGCCACGAGAGAGGAGATCTGCCCCATGGAGGGCCAGTCCGATACGGGGACCAACTTCACAGCCAACGATGAAAGCTTTGAGGTAGTCTTGACCGGAGAATACGCGCGAAGTCTCTGACTCTGCAGCGGCGAAAAGGGCAGGGAGAAGAAGGGAGCACGAATGCAGAGGCGCGGTGGAGTGGTAGTCGTCGAGCTCAAAGCCTTGGATGAAGGTGCTGTTTAATATACTTGCTGCGAGCGGGGACAGTCTCTTGCTCCCTCCCCACCCGATGATCGTGCATTGACCCTCTGGTTCCATGTTAAAGATTGCTCGCGCCGCAATCTCGGACCATGGCAAGTGGGCAGCGACCAGACCGCACGCAATGCCATCGAGGATGAGGTACTTTGCCCGCCTTACCACGTCGTCGGGGATGGAGCTGATAGTCGTGTCGTGGATCCAGGTGCTGAGTTTGCCCGTGATACTAGACGAGTTACTGACGGCGGTGGGGTCGTGAGATGTTTGCTCTTCTTCTGTTATCGCCCTTGCCAGAGACATTCTGCTTCAAGTCTTCTTTTCCAGTTCAGGAAAAATGACAGCCGAGTTATTGTCCGTTCGATTTCGCAGCAGCAGCGGAGTTATAACTTTGCTGGACTCGTCTTCAAGATCCACAGCGACAACACCAAGGGGCTATATATCATTCAATACCGTCTGGCAGCGACTACTTTGCTCGATGTTTACTCACCTTGGTCTCAGGTCTGAGAGCACAGGAAGAACGGACATTGTGTTTGCGATGTCACATCCACGCAAATTCTAGCTATTCAGGCTTGAAAGCGGGCCGTGACCGGTAAGGCGATCGGGAGAATATTGGACTAGGCAGTCAAGCAGCTGGAAATCTTGATCCTGGAAGAAACAAGAGCCAATGCTCCTGCATGTTCTGCGTCCGAGACAGGACCTGGAGGGCGTGGATGCAGTCGAATGAAAGGAAATGCGAGACATCCGCTCGGCCTTCGGACTTTGAAATGGCGGAATAAAGATGCACCGAGGCCGATTTTGGACCCGAACTCCGGTCCGATATGGTGCGCTTCGCAGGATACCCGTCGAGCGTATGACCTACCACCACCGGAATGAGGGCTCCTGGAGCAAGAAGGCATTCAATCTTAGTCTCCCGCTCTCCGATTACGGCTGACTCTGCCTGCCCGTTGATGGTTCACCTTGCTCAACCAAAGAATAGACACCCGCCGCTTATCCAGTCGCCGCTTTCTCCAATCCATCCCTTTGTTCTTTCTTGATACACCACAATACCGCTCCGCCAAAACTACCGCTCCATAAACCCAACACGGTGAAATACCAGCCTCTACCTGTGGCGTCGAGCTGAGGCTGCAAGACTGCTACACCTGCGGCTGCTATGGCGCATCTCGTGATGCTTGCAGCTGCCGCCGTGCTCGGACTTTGCGGAAACACATCGACCAGGAACGTATTGTAGATCGTGTAGAAACATGTGCCCCAGAAACCTTGCATGAATTGCATATCAGCAAGATTGATACGTGGACATGATAATGTACAGCCCAGCCGTATCCAATGAGGCCGAACGTGGAAACGAGCAACAGCCAGCCGCTGCCGCGGGCTCGGTCTCGCTTGACCGGAAACTCTTTCAAATCGTAGCCTGAAAGACTGTTGATATTCCAGTTAATCTTTTTCGCCGTTGCTTTATAGTTGAAATCCATGACTCTGCCCATGCAGTAACCACCAACGTTGATCCCAACGCCGCGCGGTAGGTACGTCTACCCAATCTGCAATTCGTTGAAGTGATAGATCTGTTTGTATATGTCCGGTAAAGCGGCGACCAGCGAGAAATCCACCGTGTAGAATGATCCGTGCATCCAGAGCACGAAGAACGTATCGAGATGGAAAATAATCCCCAGGCAAGTGAGCGGGTTGCCGACCTGCAGCCGTGAGAGCAATTTTGGACTGGCCGACGTTTCCTCTTTCTCGAGCCCCCCTTCCGAAAGCCCTTGGTCGGTTCCTGGTGCTCGTCTCCCAGGTTTCCCCGGTAGATCGAATGTGGTGAGCCACATTACGATGCGGAGCCAGGTCCGTTCCCACTTTTGTAGGCTTGCTCTCTTTTTGCCATTGCCTACCAGTCATCGAGCCGTCTCCGGCAAGAAGCTGCCAACCAGCAATAACATAGCTCCAACAATGACCAGGGCCCAAAATATCCATTTGAAACTTTCACTGGAATATGCAACCCACCCACCCAAGACCGGGCCGATACAAGCGCCGAGGTTCAACGCGATGCTGACCGGTCCCAGCATCCTCCCCCTTTCGCTAGGCACACAGACGTCAGCGACAACGCCGAAGCTGATGGCATAAGCAGCACTTGCACTGAGGCTCTGTATCGCTCTCAGCCCCAGCAGAAGCTCGTAGTGATTCATGTTAAGTGCTAAGCCCAGGTTCGCTACCATGTACAGGCCACAGGGTGAACAGATACGCCGGTCTCCTGCCTATGGAGTCCGACAATGGTCCGAATGCCGCAGGTGAGATTGCCTGGAAGATGGCACAAATTGTGAGGGTAAGGTTAATGGCCAGAGAGATCGTGTGGAAATGTTCTCTCAGCAGCAAAAGAGGAAAGTAGATCGTGACCATTAATTGAGAAGTAATGGTAGCAAAGCCAAGCAGCGCAATGAGCAAACGCTTTTGATTCTGCCCGAAGGCGGTATAAGGGACAGGTACTGCCTGACCACTGGCATTGAGCTATCTTCGACATTCTAGAGCCTCATCAAGTCTTTTGAGGCGATGTAGAAGATTCCAACACAAATCATCCTAGCACGTCCAAAAAACTAGGTCGACCTTGGTCGACCTGACAGGTTCGCACACTAAGGGCGAACGGCATCACCAAAACATATCTTCAGCTCCTAGAGTCGTTTCAACTTGTTAATTGTGACGCGTCGAGGCGGACAAAAGGGAGATATATGTAGCAGATCTTAAGACGTGGTGTACTGCAGGGATGGTATGTGAGGATCTGTCCAATGATCATGGTTTTAAAAGGACATGTAGGAGGGGTGGATTGGTTCACAATAGTGTCCTCAATCGAAGAGCACGTATTATCTGTGATAGATTCAGAATGCTCACAACAAAGCAACTGCCGTTCCGATACAGTCAAGTCGGACTGTTGTGGCCACAGAGAATCACTGCGGACAAGTGAGATAGTAGCCTCCAATATAGGTAAAGGCCGCCCTAGATCAAGGAATGTAAATGCAACCTGCGGAGCAATCATTCTTTGTTCGGGTCAAAGATCCTTAAGCATCTATACTCCAAGATTGCTCCTGATTGTCACGATATTGCCTTCCTGGATACAGAATAATGTCCCATCTCGTAACATGGTGCATAGCACGAGATCTTCAGCCCTAGTCCAACCCCTTGGGATGAAGTAGTGACGTAGTAGCGAATCCACATCTTTTGGTCGGGTTAGGCTGATGGAACAGACCCATAAGTCTCGATCGAGAAAGATCAACTGATGGCCCGGCAAAATGCCCAAAGGTGCTTCAAGTTTCTCGGTCAGATCGTTCGCAATCCGCAGGTACTCGAGCGCGATTCCCTCTCCATTGTCTGTAGCTGTATTCAGTGATTCCACTTGTACAATAAGAAGTTTTTTCAGAACACTACTGTTCGACACGTAGTCCTTAAGAAATACCAGAATGTGCTTGAGATCTTGTGTGAGCATGACTTTGTGGATTCTTGTCACAGATTCTTGTCTCGAGATTGACAGATCAGTCACTTGCAGTGTCTTGTCCAACTGAGGGATGGAGCCTGGCTGTCTCACGAGAGACTCCACTGCGTTGTTGAACCTGAAATAGTGCGTTTGTTGTAAGTTGGACCATTGATATATCCTGATGTGTTCTGGTCCAACCCCCAAGAATAGCTCGTGATTGGTGGGATGGTTCAACCAACCCTGTTGAGCAGCACAGTCCATAGGGGCAGAGGTCTTTATGCTGCAGTCAACAATGTCCCAGGTTTGGGCAAGATTGTCGCTGATAACGAGAAGCAATCGTGACGAGAAATCGAGTAGCATTTGATGTATAGCACGTCCTTCAAGTGCCAACTTTGGACGTTGTAAAAGCCGAACATCTGTTGGTTTGAGACATATGGAACGAGTATTTTCGATCTGAATTATTCGGACGTCGGCTGCCAGATCGGCTGCAGCAATGATTCCGCCACTTGGACTCCAGACGAGATGACCAACACATTGAAAGCTGTGGAAGCGTGTAAGCTCAATCCGAAACGTGGCTTGGACATCCGCGAGATAAACCTCGCCGTCATCATTACCAGCCGAGTACCATAGTCCACCTGGAGCTGTAGAGAGGGCAGTGAGAGTTGGATATTGTGGGGCATTCGCCTCGGATACATTAGAAATGGTTGCACCATGCCGTTCATCACTAGCGGCATCATCGAAAGTCTCTTCTGAGCCTACAAGCTGAGGCAAGCCACTGGGTTCCCATGCAGTGACAGTCGATCCTCGGACATCATAAAACCGCATGGAGTCTGAGCTGAAGGATAACCCACTGACCAAGTCTCCCGACGAAAGTTGGTATATGACGCTGAAAGATTCAAAGTTCCAGAGCTTGACCACGCCATTGCTGTCACTCGTCACAAAAACTTTCCCGTTCGGACTTGAGGCCAACCCGTCGACACAGGCGGAGACTTCATGAATGTCGTCTGTCACCGGATGCCATTTGAAAAGATTGTTGCCCTTGTACCAGCCAATGATGTGACCAGTGACAGGATTCCATGCGAAGAGTTCTACGGGAAACCAAGTTTGCGGAGAAACCAAAGCTGGGTCTGCGCTAGCGACTGGTCTCAAGCACCGTCTGATAAACGTCGCTCTGTTCAAGTCCCAGACTGTGAGAGGAAACGACCTATAGCAGACTGCAACCTGCGTACCGGTTGTGTTGAATTTTATGAAACTCGGGCTGTTGATAATTGTTGAGTCGGACTGAGGGTTCTCTTTGAGTAGGGACCTATTGAGAACTTTCCATGTCGCTCCGTTTTCTGTTATCTCCAAGTACCTGACCGAGCTGTCATCTGTCGCAGCCAGGACTCGCTGCTCATTCATTGCAAAAGCTAGCGACATTGCTTTGCTGTTTCCTGGGTTTGATGCCCGCAGACGGATGGTGCCTGCAGGGATGTCCCAGACTATTGTTGTCCTCAACCCGTAGGTCACAAGCACGTCACCTCTGTTATTCATGCAAATATCAATCGCAGGTTCACCATGGCGGAGTGCGCACACCTCGCTAAAATCGGTGGAGCTCCATATATGCGCAATGCCGCCATGAGTAAACACTGCCAGATGAGGTCCCGAAGACACTATCTTCGAAACTGTTTCGTCCTGAGGAAGTGAGAAACGAGCAAATACGTCAGTCCACGACTCATTTTGACCGCATACCGTGATCTTTGACTTCTTGCGGTGGTGGAATTGGCGGTTGATCATGGAATTCGGCGGACATAAAGCTGGAATTATCTCATAGACGGCATAAGGTTGGGTGGTGAGGTGTTTGTTATATTTTGCTGTTATCCTCATCAAGTCTAAACCCCAGTTTCCCAGGAACTCAAGTGTAGGTAGTCGATGGAGCATCGGATTTCGGTGGCGATTGTGCTTACGGTTGCTGGAAACAAAGGTTGACAGAGCATTTCCAGCTCTGGCCAACGTGCCGACTTGGTCGAGGATCGCGAGAATGTAGATCCAGTCGAGGACATGGGGACTGCTGAAGAACCTCTCCAGCGCTTCCAGCCCCTCCTCCGAAACAAGGCCAGCATCGTCAAGGTAGTAGAACCACGAATTGGCGGCATAAAAGGCAAAAGGCTGCTGAGCTTCAAGCTCTTTCCGGACCGACATGTCTTCCCTCGCACCGAGAGCCGTGGCACGAGTGGACGAATTGCTTAGACTAGAGAGACTTTTCACCAGGACCATGCTGTTTGCACTTTGGCGATTGGTTGCGATCACACTGTTTGAAGATTTTGTCAGAAAGTCGCGCGCAGTTTGATGGATTGTCGTGACATGGCTCGTGCTGTCGATGAGAATGAACTGGCCACAAACGTCTCGAACGGCCTTCTTTAGATCCAGGACATCAGGGTAATCTTTGCTGATGGCGTCTCGTAACTCATCTAAGGTTAAGGGACGAGGGACACAAGCCACCCATTGAAGTAATTGTTTTGCTAACTGGACCCGCTGCTCGTTGGGATTTTCGATAATCGCAAGTTGCATTCGCGCGTACATGTTCGTCATATTCTCGGGTATTTGTTCTAAGGCGGCCCGAATCTCTCTTTCGGTTTGGCACTTGTGAAGCTCCTCAAGCACAAGATTCACCCACAGAAAGTTGCCTCTTGCCCGTTGCAAAATCTCTTTCTGAAGTTGTCCCTTAAGAGCCGCGCTTCCGTGCAGATATTCGAGTTCCCTGTCAACGACTAGCTTGATGTCTTGGTCATTGTGAGTCTGATCTTCACCGTCGATTACGTTGACTTTTGGTAGACGCTCGAGCTTTCTGAACTTTAGTGTAAGTGCTTCTGTCCTCCGGCTAGTGACCAGAACCTTCATTTGGATACGTGAATGTGAAAGAAGGTCTTCCAACAGTTCTATGACCATCTGGGGTGATTCGGATTCATCCAGGCCATCGATGACCCAGAAAAGTGGGCGGGGGGAAGTTTTGCAGAAGAAGAGATTCTCGAACAGTTTCTGCCACAGAAAGTGGTAGCTGTCCTCGTCCAATCGAATGCCTTCTGTGCAGGTTGTGACTATCTCCTTCCCATACTCAGGCATAATTGAAGATATCTGATACGCCAGTGACTTCAGCATCCCACTTATTGATCGTCTCGTTTGATCTCCGAAGTTGAAGAAATAATACTGACAATGGTGGTCATTCGACTGAAGGTATTGGATGACGTAGCTTGAGAGGACTGACTTGCCGTTCGCAGGCGGTGCATTGTACCATATCAGATGAGAACCGGAAAGGTCTGCAAGCCAGTCCTGAATGCCAGGATCCTGGAGGAACCATTCACAGCTTCCTACCATCCAGCGTTTGCGGAGGGTGTTGAAGTCCTCGACCGGACTGCGTGAGAGACCCAGAATCTTTCTAATATCTTCGTTGGTCTTGGGAATCCCGACATCAGGTGCTCGGAGAGTGTCTAGCTTCTCCACAAGACCTTTCAAAGTGTCTCTGACTATTCTAAATTTCGGATCCTCGTCACTGGCGAATTTGCAAATGGTGTGGTGGTCAGCAGGTAGACCTCTTGACTCTTCATTCTGGTAGCCCAAGATAGCAGAATCCTTGCGGACGATCATTAGAGGCCGTCTCAATATAAGAGTGGGATGCTCCTCGTAAAATGAAACAATCGAAAGTTTCGATGCAACATGGCGGAATTGGTCGTTGATGTCCTCAATGGCCGAAGAGTTTCGTTCCAGTTCTTTGATAAAGGATTTTTCCGACTGAAGTGTGGCCCTCAGGATCAGGTTCAGCGCGAGGGTGAGATTCGACCCCCGATGAGGCGTTGACAGAAAAATGATTCCCAGGATCGAGTGGGCGATTTGTGTACAATTCTGATCGTTCTGAGCCATCAGATAAGCTTTCTTAACGACAAGGCCACCCATAGAATGAGCGACAAAGATTATAGGTGCGTCGCCGATCCTAGTGCTGTTTTCCTGATTGCCCCTGCTGTACCGCATGTCGAACAAGAGCGACCTTGCGAAACCCATGATATTTGACACACTTTTGGGGCCGAGGAGTTGAGAGTCATAACCGTAGGTGAACAACCTCGCCTTTCCAATTTTGGGGTCTTTCGAGAGCCATAACCCGGGCCAGAAGTGCTGCAAATTGCGGTCTTTGCACCATGTCTTATAACTGTGGCCGCCGAGACCATGTACAAAGATAATATCGGCGATTGGTCTCGTATCTGGCTCATATATGACATGGAGACCAAGGGCATGAGCGTCATAGCTTGCAAAGGAGGATCCATCTCCATCATTGCCTGTAGTCGAACTCGTATTGAAAAGACGATGGGCGGAAAGAGTCACAACGGGACCGGAACTCTCCCGTCGAGCATGGTCCGAAGAAGAATCGGTTGCCAAGTTATCTTCAGCGCGACCTAAAGAGGTATTCGCATGGTCACTCTGCCGCTTGTTTCGGTAAGAGACTCTGGAGCGCAGTTTCCCTAACTGCAACACAACCTGATTAGATGGACTCGGAGACGTTGAGCCGGGATAATATACCATTGGGGGCGACTGGCCAATTGCGGCGACTGCTTGCGGAATAAACGGTTGATTTTAGGCTAGAATCTCGACACGCATATGGTGAGCACAATCATCCTCAGACATCTGGTGTGAGTGATAGTATGAGAGACGGCGGAATGGGCGGTTCGGTGTCTTCGAAAGACATGCCCCAGACTTGGGGCTTAGCTAGAAGGCAGCCACAAGGCAGCACGACACGCCCACGGAGTTGCAGGCGGCAACGGATCTGAGCCCTGTCAATGGGCCATACATCTCGAACAAATTGGTACAAATAGAGCCGATGACATCCGTGGAGGCGTCTGCCTGACACCGGTGTTAGGCACATTGAGCCATGCCTCATATTCATGAAGGTGAAATGGTTTTCCAGCATCTTTGGCTCTTTGTTTGAAGCGCCCCTGAAATATATTTTGAGATTCTGGTGTTCAGACGCCGCAGACTTCGAGGGTGGAGCTTGCATTAGATTGTTTCAGAGGCTGTGGGCGGCTGCGGTAATGTTAGGAGAAGATGATGAAGTTACGGGGAGTCGCCAGCGCAATCAGCCAAGGTCGGCGGCTAAGTGACTTCCTCCCTGAGGCGTCTAGCTGCGTCTGTACATTCCGCCGCACAATCTTGACCTCGACCATTACCTGGAACAAAGTCATCGATAGCCGTCTTGTTTGATGAGTATTGTGGCCGCCTCCGAATCACTTTTACAAGAAGCGAGATGCACACATGATCAGATTCGCCGGGGCTATTGTTGACGGCGACGCTGCTACCAGACCAGCCATGTTTCCTCCATTTTCAAAGCCACTCGCCCTCCTTCGGTCCTTCGTCCGTCCATCTCTTTCAGCCCTGCTGTGCCTCATCATCTCTCGTATCTCCGACAAGTAGATCCTCATTGACTAGGACGGGTAGATTCTACATTGCGTCCATGGTTGCCAACGGTGGAATGCAAGTGAGAGGAAACATGTCAGCGCAAAGAATGCAAGCAAGAAGATGTAACAACAAGAGGAATGTTGATAATGGAAGTGCCCATAAGAAAATACCTCGTAAGGATCATGGAAAAGTCAGCATCAATACTGTTTCCTCTCTCCCAGGTCATTGTGCCTGCCAGGCTTATTGCAACACCCACGGCGGAAAGATGCGAGCGTCTCCCATCTGCTGCCCTCATTCTTGCAGACTTCCAGCAATCACTTTTGCCAAGTTTGTTTCCTCAATCCTGATGTACTAACATTTCTCTGGGATCCTGGTCATTATGGGGGAGGTTATGCACGAGCTCAGAGGTAACAGACCAAAATCTACGGCGAGAGGGGGGAACTTTCCCCTTGGATGATAATGTTATCAAACCCTTCCCTCAGTATACCGAGATCCTGTCTGCCAGGAGGTTTCCTCGGTCAAAGTGGATGCTCCTCGCCCACCTGGAAGTTGAAGAGCTTGGCGGGACTCACGCAGCATACTTTCTGAAATGTGCCGCCGGGGAAGCTGGCCGAGTGATAATCGAGGGCGACTTCAACTCGATGTCGGAGATATATAAGACAACGCCGGAACTGGTTCAAGACCGTATGCCCGGGGCAAATATTCGGCACCGTCTCTAGAGACATACTTCGTCCTCGCCGAGTTTATTAATATGTCTGATCGGGAACTGAACCCTGAGCAGCTCTGCGCTGAGTTGGCAAAATTGCATAAAACTAGCGTCTCGCCCACCGGGAAATTTGGCTTCTACATCACGACTTGTCAAGGTCGTGTCCCCCAAGCCGTGGCTTGGGAAAGCAGTTGGACGATCTATTTCACCAAACTGCTCCGCAATGTTATTGCACTGGACGACGCGGAAAGTGAGGTCTAGGACGATCTCACTACTGTCGAGGATCGGCTTCTTGCTCATGTGGTCCCCTACCTTCTAGATTACCTCACCAAGGATGGTCGCGTGGTAAAACCTTCTCTCATCCACGGCGATCTCTGGGAAGGTAATACGGGGACCTCCTACCAGACAGGAGACGTCTACCTCTTTGATGCGGCGGCCATGTATGCACACCATGAATTTGAGACTGGAAACTGGAGGTGCAACTACAACAAAATCCACCGTAAAGTCTATACACAGACCTACCTCCGGTGTAACGGACCCAACGAGCCAATGGAAGAATGGGACGACCAAAACTGTCTTTATTGCACCTATTATAACGTACTATACTCGGTGAACCATAGGAGCCAAGGAAAGGCCGTGCGTCAAACGTGAGTTTCCTCCCCTTCCTTGTCAGCAAGCACAATCTCTCTACAGCGCGTAGACTAACGCATTGTTGTGCAGGGCCTTCAATGACATGTACTATCTCATTGACAAGTTTGCGCCTTTCTCTGAAGGCCAAGGACCTGAGCGAATCAAAGATGCGGACAGAGGCACGCTATCCGACGAGAGAGATCATACCAGAAGTTAAAACAGAAGGATAAAAACAAATGGAACGAGGAATTCAATGGAAATTTGGTTACCAGTCTAGTTTCTTGTCCCCTATCTTCCCTCCCTCCCCGCCCCCCTCCAACGCAGCCGTAACTATCGATGTCTTGACATCCTCCTTCTTGCCCGCCCCCGTGAACTTCTCCCAGATGACCTTCCCAAACCTCCGATAACTCTCCGCCACGCCGTTGTTGATGGTCAAGTTATATTCCATCTCGGACAACGTGAATGGGAATGTCTTGGTGCCGCCCACCGTGATGGTCCGAGCAGGGATGTCTAGCGTGATCTCCTCGCCTTCCCGCGCAGCCTCGTAGAAGGCCTCGTCCGTCATCGTGACGCCTAAAAGCCCCAGGCTGGGCTGGTTGCGGCCGTAGATGAACGCGAACGAGCGGGCAATGACGGCCTTGACGCCCACCCCTGGGCTCCCAAGTCGTTAGACGCGGCTACGGATACCTCGTGTGCATGGAGGTTTGAGAACGGGGCACAAATGCGAACGCAAGAAAATGGAAAGGGAAGGGAAGGGAAAGTAGAGTACCTTTCAAAGCACCCACAGCCATCTCGCGGCTCGATCCGACCCCAAACGCACGCCCTGCTACCACGACCTGTTGCCCTCCCCGCACTTTGGCCCGGAAGTCTGGATGTGTGTGCTCGAGAACGTGCTCTCCGAACTCTTCGTCGGTCACGCACGTAGTCAGAGTGGAGCCTGGAGCCAGCTGTTACGTACCAAGAAGGTGAAATTGTCAGCCTTGCGCGTCCCCTCTTCCCATGTTTTCCTTTCGTTTGTCCGGGGGGAGCGGGGAGGTTTGGAGGTTTTGGCTTGGTTCTGGCTTACCGCATCCGTGTCGATGAAGTCGCCCAGAGTGACGATCTTGCTTGTGATTTTTTTGAGCTCCTCTAGCGGCTTGTCTTCCGCGTCTCGTGACGGATTGATCGTGCTGGCGGTGCTGGCGGTGCTGTTGTCGTTATCGCTGCCGCCGCTCGAGCTGCTGAGGTCGGGTTCGACGTATTCCACCGGGGCCATATTGACATCAGGGAGAGGACGGTATCGTCTGAAGAAATCCATGTCTAGCTCTTTGAGGAAGTCCGCGGGACTGGTGATGGTCATGCTGAAGCTCGAGGCTGCACAAACTATAGCGGACGTGATATGGCCGAATGCGCCTACATGTCATCAAGGGGGTCAGCACAGAGTGACAACAACACCTTTCAACCTTCTAACAAAGCAGACAGGGGAAGAAAAACAGGGAACCCACCCTTGCCCATGCGGTTTTGGAAATTGCGATTTTGCGAGCTCAACCACGTCTCACCCTCGTCGGCGTGCTCGGCGGAGAGACCAACACAGTAAGAACAGCCTGGGGGACCACGAGTGAATCCCGCGGCCTCGTATATCTCGAGGAGCTTCAGGTCCTTCAGCTTTTCGACAATGGGTAGCGACCCTGGCACATAATGTCTTTTTCCCTTGGCCATTGGCAATTTCTTGTCCAGACCGACCTTAAGCACGAGCGCCGCTAGGACCAATTCTTCTTCGGTGGTCGTGCAAGCGCCAATGAAGATTCCGTCGAGGGGCTTCTCGGCCATCTGCGAGACGGGGACCACGTCGTCTGGATTCGGGTAGACGGCGACAGAGGACTCAACCTTGGACAGGTCGATGGTATATCTCCCTGCGTACTCGGCGTCAGGGTCTGGTCGGAAATAGAGCGAGTTGACACGATTCGCTTTCCTTCGTCGCCGTGCAATGTAATCGCTGGTGATACGATCCGGCACAAAAATCCCTGTAATGGCGCCAAACTCGGTGCACATGTTGGCGATGGCGAACCGGGCGTCAACCGACAGGTACTTCAGCCCTTCACCGCTGAACTCGACGATCCGCTCCGCGGCGACGGTGTTCCGCTTGAGTTCGCCGAGGATGTAAAGGATGACGTCCTTCCCAGACATGCCAAAGGCAGGCTGGCCGATGAAATCAATGAGGATCGACTCGGGAATCTTGAACCACGTCTCGCCCAACGCCAGGGTCATCATCACATCCGCGGTGCCGAGTCCGATGGACAAGCAGCCCACGGCTCCGCCAGAACAAGTGTGCGAGTCAGAACCAATTGCGAGCATTCCCGGTTCGACACGTTCTCGAACGAACTCCGTGTGCATGATGGTGTAGTTCATGCCTTGGTACTCGGTCATCTTGAACTCGTTCTTTGCCTTCTCGGCGACCTCCACCATGGCTTTGATCTTGGGAACCTGTGCCACGGCCGGGTGGACGACATGGTCGCCAGCCAGCCAGAAACGATCATTACGCCAGATTCCTGGAGAACCCAGTTGTCTCCACGTCCGGACCATTCCCTGCCGCAAGTGTGAGAGATCACGGACACAAGCTCCCTCGGGCGGTGGGTTACTTCAAAAAAACATACCTGCCAGGACAATTCCGACGCCAGAATCCAGTCGATTCCAATCCTGATGACGTCGCCGGCCGCCAACCCTTTGGCAGGTTTCTCTCCAATCACATGCTGGGTGAAGATCTTCTGGGCCAGATTCATGGGCCTTGTCCCTTCCGCTGGCGCGGACTGATACGACAAAAAGTTCTTTGCCCTTTCCCTGGAGTTGACGGCTTCTAGCCACGCCTCCACCTGGAAGAGCACCTCTGATTGCTGAGCAGGCGTAGCCTCGTTGTCGTCGTGCAGGCCTAGCCCGCCGAAAGCTTTCCTGTCGACCGCTTTCTCGCGGACCTGGTCCAGCGCTTCGGCCTCGGACGCTTGATGCGCACCTCTCAGAGCGTCAGAGTAGCGTAACAGGATGCCGGGGATGGCGTTGGAAGCCTTCGTGGGGCTGAGGCTGAGAGTAGATAAGTCTACTTTCCTGGTGTGGGATAGAAGATCTCGTAGTTTGCTCTCAAATCCATTGTCCTGAGTCTCCGAGGGCCTTTGTAGGGTTTCCGTTGTCGTTGCCATTGTCTGGTCTGATTGATCCCAACGAAACATCTATCCCTGTGGTGCTTTGGAGCCATATATCCATCTGGAACTGGGCACGGCATATACATCTGACGAAGGCCACTTGACCCCTCCTTACGCGCTGCATACCGGAGAAGATTTAGTATGAAACAGGCGTTCCATCATGGCACATCCTCCGCCCGCCGCCTGTGAATGGCTTTATTCAGGCCGATGTTGTGTCATGTCCGGGTTTCGGCGCGAGAATCGGACTAACGCTTGATCGACATCGGCAATGTCTTTAAGCCTTGACCCATCTCCCCCATGTAGGAGTTGAATGACTGTGAATGCCTCGGGTGAGATACAGCGAATTACTTCCTTCATAAATGATTAAACAGATGATCTTTTCATCTCCTGGGGCCTCATATACGTTAGTCCAACATACGGGATAGTAAGTCGTCTCCAATATTCATCATCGCCATGGGTTCAGTAAGCGACAACACGATAGACACGAATGTTAAAGCATGCTCGCCGCTCACCGGCGCCAAAAGCCTGCGAGAGATGCTAAAGGATCCCTCCAAAGTCGTCGTATGCCCGGGTGTTTTTGATGGTTTTACGGCCCGCTTGGCGTTGGCTGCTGGATATGATGCACTGTACATGGTACGTCCAGACGCTGGTGCAGAGAAATAATGCCAACACTTGTCGTCTTCACAGACAGGAGCAGGGACTTCAATGTCTAGACTGGGATGGGCAGACCTGGGAATAGCAACTCTGAATGATATGAAAAGCAATGCCGAGATGATCGCGTCACTCAACCCCTCAGTGCCCTTGATTGCAGATGCGGATACTGGCTACGGTGGACCCATCATGGTAACGAGGACTGTTACCCAGTATGCTCGTGCTGGTGTTGCCGCACTCCACATCGAAGATCAGGTTAGTTAATGACCGCTATGCTGTTTGGGTCCGACTGACGGATGAGAAGGTTCAAGAGAAGAGATGCGGCCACCTTCTTGGCAAGCAGATCGTGGACAGGGAAATTTACTTCAGCCGACTTCGAGCAGCTGTTACGGCTCGCGACCAACTTCAATCCGACATCGTGCTGATCGCCCGGACGGACTCTCGACAGACATACGGCTTTGATGAAGCCATTGAACGATTGCAAGAAGCAGTCAAAATCGGCGTCGACGCTGTATTCCTAGAAGCTCTTCAAACCAAAGAAGAGATGGAAAAGGTGTGCCAGATCATGGGTGACACTCCTGTGCTCTTGAATGTGGTGCCTGGAGGCGTCACTCCAGAGTACACGGTTGAAGAAGCGAGCAAGATGGGATTTCGCATCATCATCTACCCCGGACTCTGTATTGGTCCGGTTCTCGAAAGCGTTGGCAAAGAGCTGAAACTACTGAAGACAACAGGAAAGAGCTCCCCGAGGAGTTCAGCCAGCGGTGTCAAGGAAGCTTTCAACTTGTGTGGGTTGCAGGAGTGTATCGAGATTGACAAAGAAGCTGGAGGGAAGGCGTATGCAACAGTGGGAAAATAGAGCGATGAAATGGATGGAGAAAGTCATTTTGAAGCCTGCCTTTGTTCCGGCGATTGCTTTGGAAGTGTTTCCTGCCAGTGTGCCACGGGCTGAAGAACAGGCCAGTAAACTTGCAAAGCCGCATTAGCCAAGGGCATCGGGAGGAATAGCTCACGAAAGGTTCTTGATTGAAGATTGCTCATTGAATTTTCGGCCTCTGTAGGCTAAACTGCTAGTCCCGTAGCATTCGGCAAACCACTGCTTAAAGGGCGAGTCCTCGTTTCCGTTACTTCGACTGTTGAAGTCTGTCGAATGGTGATTGTAGTTCTGGTCAACGAGTCTAAAGAGAATGTCCTCGTAGTTGGAACTGTCACTAGCACAGTCACTGTCTGCTCTGATGTAATGGCTATGGTGCCGCCTCGAAGTCGATGTCGACTAATCGCCGACGAAGTAATCAATGTGGTTGTGGTCACGGTCGATTTAAAGGAGAGCGTAGTCGTGACTGTGTATGTTCCAGATGTGACCACGGCGGGCTAAAACAACGATGTCAGCGGGTAATACCCTGCAGTCGGTGGCTGCAACTTACCCCTGCGAACGAAGCAACACTAGTCCCAATACTGGCGATCGTAGTAGTCACCACATCCCAACTTTCACTCGAAGTAATGCAATTCCACCCGATTGATGCACAGTCTTGAACTTCGACGATATTGGGAATAGGACCTTGTATGAGGTCGTACCAATGCGCAGCATAGAATACCACAGATTCATTCGTGTCTAGTGGGGCCGACAGGCTTAATGAGCAGGCACCGGAAGTCGTAGAGCATCCATAGAGCTTCTGGCTGGAGAATGTGACATATTGATCACAGTCGGTGATGGAAACAGGCAGCATGCCAGCTGGCTGAACCGTGGTACTGCACCATGTTGTGGTCTTTGTACTATATACCGTCTGGCATCCATTTTTGTCCAACACTATGCGTGCTGTTTCTGCTCCACTGGACTCGATTGCAGGGATTGCTAACGAGGTCGTCGGTAGCACACTAGTCGTGCTAGTAGACAAGAAGACTGTTGTACTTCCATTTGGTAACAGAGCTGTGGCATTCACTCGGATGGGGAAGTACATTGAGCTATTGGTAATCGAGCCTTGCGTCGTTTTGGATCCCACCGTGGGCGCCAACGAGGATATCGGAAGGATAGAGAAAATGGCCGACGAAGCTGGCGCGTCAGGACACACAGTGGCAACAGGTTCTTGAATCACCGTCGTGGGAAAGACGTAGGAAGATATCGTGGTTGTAATTGATGGGGTAGTGGTGACTGCAGCGGCAGGGGCAGGGGTCGCCAGCGTTCCCAAACCATCCACAGGTGAGTTGGTCTGTCGTCGGCGCTCCTTAAAATGCAAATGGGCTCTGCCCTCATGTTGTTTAGTCGAAATAATAGGCGCAGCCAGGGCGATCAGCAGTAGTAGAGTCTCCATGGATTCCGGAGCGTAAAGCTGAGTCTTGTGGAAGAGAGGAGACTGTTGATCTTCGCCAGCGAAGACAGAGAACTCAATCTAGAGTATATGTCGACGTAGAAAGGCGGCAGAAAAGATTCTTAGAGTGGCAGGGCATTTCAATTACATTAGTTGAGACCGTAGAGGATGGAATGCCACATTAACTGCGGTTGGTATGTGGAGGTGCTCCCCCTCCTTTGTCCTCCTTCAACTCCTTGAGACGCGGCGCGTGCTGCATTTTCCGGTCTAGAATTCTTCGTCTCGGGTGGGTATCTCAATTCATCCTGTGTCCTTGACTGGACTCACCGCCTCCCTGGTGGTGACTTGAGTCTTCGTGGTAGGCATTACTCATAAACTCGATCTCTGCGTCTGTGGGTTGTTGAAATTGCATGGAGGGATCGTTCATTAACAAATTTGGGGCAAAGTATTGGTCATATCGCATCATTGGGTCGAACGCGGCAAAGGCCTGGGCACTCCGCAGATCTGGTATTGTGCCGTACATGGAAGGCGGGTTCGGTGCTGACACATACAAGTTGCTGGATAGAGGGTGGTGGCTAACTGTAGAGTAATTTGCCATGGGTGCATCCTGGCTCAGGGGAGAAGGCTTTGCCGGAGGATCCTGTGGCAAGTCGTCGACGTCGCGCCCAATCTTCTTAACTGCTTCCTTAAACAATGCGAAACACATTGCCCAGGCACGCCTAGCGGACAGGTTATCTTCTGCTAACGCATGCAACCAGCGGATGCCTTTCTTGCATGACTCCAGAATAGCTTCTGCTTCTTCCGGCATATGATTGGCTCTGAAAGATATTTCAAGCATCAATACAGTTGTAGCTTGGACCAGCCAATGTATGATATTCCACCAGGGGCCGACCCGAATCAGGCCAACGGCATTGGGCTTGTCAGGAATGAGTTGAAGCATCTCCATTGCAGCCTCCACGCAAGCGGCAGCAGAATTCCGGTTGAATTCGAGTGATTTGGATGATTGTCCCGGAATCTTGCGGTCGAGTCGGCAAAGGCAAGGTCTATGGATAGTCATTTTGGTGCTGTAGTAAAAGAATCCAAGGTTCAACCGAAACTCGTAAGACCCTCGCTCACGCTGGTTTCGGCGAAAAGCAAAGGCTTGGGGCAGTTTTCGATACCAATGTTCAAGACGTTCGTCCAGGTCCTTCACCTTGGCCTGAACTTCTGACCATGTTCCTTTAATCGAGGCTGGGTTGTACAGACTATGGAAGATGTTCTGTGTCAGACGAGTCAACTGTACCGCGTGGAGAAAGTACAATGAAGAGTTAGGCGGCACGTCTTTTGCCCATTCCAAGTCACCGGCTCTGACACCCGGAGGCATTGAGGGTGAACGCGAGTCGACCTTGGTCCGCGAACGAGAGCGGTCGGTTGACGGGGTCGATCCGAAACTTGGGGTCTGGGAATTTGAAGATGGTGCACGGTCACCCTGTTGTATTTCCTTGCTCAGAAGTCTCTGACCTTCCTCGGTCTCAAATTGTTCTTCTTCCAGCGGAATGGGGAGGGGAGTAGTGCAGTGATCGTCCATTATACAATTGACTCTACCGGTCATGTTGCACAGACGGTGTTCCAGGGCGTAGAGAGCCCACCAGAGTCGGTATCGGATTTCCTTGAGTGAATCCTTCAAGTCGTTGCTGTCGTTGCGCATGTTCAGGCCCAGGGCGCTGGCTCCTCGGATCGCAATTCCATTCAGCATCCACGCACTGCTCCCGGGTTAGTTCCCGCCGGTACTGAGAACGGAATTGGCTGCCCCTACCGGTTGATTTGGCTGTTACACAGCAGGTAGAAAGACATCAAGCCCAATACCTGGATCTGCTGCAAATCCGGATGGTGAAAGATGGTTTCGGAGTTCATACTCAACAGTCGAGCTCGGGTGAAATAGATAAGGTGATCCCGCTCATCGCCTTTCCATTCAGCTTTGATCAAGTGCGAATATTTGGCGCCAATAGCGAAGATTAAGTTCAGGATGGCGAGCCATTTTTCGGGGGGTCTCTGCACCGTGCCGCTGATGAACCTTCGGAACTGAGTTGTGAGATTTAGTCTGCCAATCACTGGAAAGGATGAGTGCACTCGTTGCATATACGCATTGAAGAGGTGGTCGGCGATGTCAGGCGTAGGTATCTCGTAGGCATCCACGGCCTCATACATGAATATCGACATGTCGTCCATGTGGTAGCTGGAATCTTTGACAGTGAAGCCTTCATCCGCCTCTGAGAGCGGGTCTTGCGTGTCACCGACTGGACGTTTCGAGGTCAGCGAGGCACTGGACGTGGCCACGAGAGCCTGTTGCCTCTCATTACCTTGCCGGTCTTGTTGCACATCCCCATACTTGTTCTGTTCGCGCAAGCGCTGGAGCCAGGTGACCTCCGAGTTCTTGCCCATGAAGCCCGTCATCCTGGCCTGCTCACGGGTGAAATCTTCATCGGTTCTATCGAGTGCGCCCGTCGACCCAGCGCCCGCCGAAGCTTCTGATTCTGCACCAGACTCCTCTTCTGCCTCAGCATCACCAATCGGAGCTAATTGTCCCTCGGCCGTACCCTCTGTAGGGGTTTCTTCGGCGTCATAGGTAGACTCCTGTTCAAGAATGAGCATAGGAGCGACATGGTATATGAGTTATGGTGGTCCTCACCTTTTCTAGTGACGCTCGAATTAATCTTGCATCGGCTTCATCAACCCTGGATATCAGTTCTTTCAGTAGCTTCTCATAGTCAGCCACCTTCTCGGTCAAGCTGCCAAATTGCCTGGACGCAATCAGTACAGGAACTTGGGTCAGGCTCAAACAAACATATCGACTGACTTCTTTGCCCTATCTCTTTTGCCATCTGCATAAAAGCATGGAATCTTGAAGTCCTGACAGTGTCTACACGCTGGCCGCTCCCCGCTACATTTGGTCTTCCGGTGGCGGCACGGTTCGCATGCATGATTGACCCGGTGTCTTCCTCCTGACCGGGCGGTACCTTCGGACGGATCAATCGATCTCTTCAACCGTGGAATGGCAACTTTTCCACCTCTTTGAGACGATTCACTTGCCGTAGTAAGAGGAGACTGCGGGACGCGGAAAATGAGGTTTGGCGCGGGCGAGTGAGGTGTCTGTGGGCGATTGGAGGGGTCACGCGCGGGTGTCTCGATTGAGACTGCCAGGGCTTGAACTGGAGTTTGAGAAGCGGATTCAGTCCTCGAAGACGCTTGACCCTGGCTGACAGGAGGAGGACGACGGGGAGATTTGCCACGACGCTGCTGTCTTTGCTCGGACATTTGAAGCGAATTGAAATACTATCTGGACGAGCACTGCGCGACGACTTTGAATGTGGCCCGGGTATGCGGCAGGTGGCGAGCTGAGATTTCAGATTGATCGACGGTGTGAGCGGGGAGAATTTCTTGGACAAGGCAAAGTTGCGAATCAAGGCGATGTGAAAAACAGGAGTGCAATAGACTTTGGAGGCATCCAGATCGAGGCGCATAAGGCTATTGTCTACGAGGTACAGCTTTTCTAAATTGAAAGAAAGCTGAAAATGAAGTGCAGTTCAATGGCGAGGCGCATCCTAAATGTGAGTGGGAGTGAGTTCGGCTTCCCAGATATTAAGGATACCAATGACATGGGCCTGGAAGTTATTCCCACACATAAGGAGGATCAGAGGCATTTGCAGAAGCTGGCTCGCCGGATGACCTATGTGCTCCATAAAGATCATCTTGGTCGGGGATCCAAATCCATTGCATAAAGCAGAACAGAAGCCCTATGAGCACATGCCACCCGAGCCTCCACCTTCTTCGAGTACAGCGGGGGTTCCAAGCGTACAAATACATGGGTTTGCGCCGCTGCAACAGGGTCAATTCATCACCTCATGGCGCCAGCGTCGGCGTCCTGTGGCGCAGAATTACATCATGCTGCAGTTGCTTGAGAAGTTCGCACCAAAGCTCCTAGACGTCGAGACGTCTCGGCGACTTCTCGCGTGGCCTGAGATTAGTCATCGATTCTTGGGAATCGGTGACCACGACAAGGAAGCCTGGCGGAAATCCAAGACACATATTCGGAGCCAATCTGGAGGGCGTCGAGGTCGACAGAGTGTTGGAACTTGCCGGCGATTGATTGGGTCAATTCTTGCTGCATGAGGCCTGTCAGTTTCTTTTCGGTAGAGTACTGTGGAGCTGCAACGCAACTACTCCTGTCGCTGGCGTTTCGCTCCATGTTGATTCCAATCGCCACCGCCAAAATTCGGCCCTGGGCCAGAGTTGAACATTCCGGAATTAAACTGGTTTCCCTGAAAACCTGAAATGCATCGTCAACATCTGACAGTGAATGCTTGAAGACAGTTATTAACGACCGACGTACCTCCCATTCCCATTCCAGCCATCATGGGATTCATGCCCATGTTACCCATTCCCATCCCACCGCCCATGGGCATCATGTTGTTCATGCCTCCACGGCCCCCACGCATGCCGCCCATGGCGCCTCGCATTGGGTTGCCCATCATTCCTCCCCTGTTGAAGCCTCCATAGTTACTTCCCATTCCCATGTTGCTCTGAAAGCCCATGCTCTGGCTGTTGTTATAACCGCCCATTGGACCTGAGAAGTTGCGGTTATACTGATTGTGTGGATTGTAGCCTCCACGGTTGAAGCCACCACCCCGACCACCTCGAAAGCCTTGGTTGTTCATACCGTAACTGGCGTCGCTGCGAGGTCCGGAATTAAACGACCCGCCGCGGATGGGTCTCTCTTCCCTGACCCGAGCTGGCGCATCTTTTGGGAGGGTCTTGAAAGGATTCTGAGTGGCACTGGTGTACGCGACTGAGTGCTTGCGAGAGCCAGGCTGATTGCCCGCCAAGGAGTCGATCTTGTGTTTAGCTGCCGTTGCTGCCTGAGGAGAAGAGAACTCGAGATATACTTGGCTATCAAGTTGGTGTTAGCACCAGTGAGAAAACATAGTTTGTCTGGTGACCAACCCTTTGCTCTTGCCATTTACCTTGTGTTCACTGAAAGTCAACTCCTTCAGTTCGTCTTCAGACCCTGCCTCGTTCACCCAACCGCGAATGTCGTCTTCAGTTGTCCACCAATGTAAGTCTGAAATCATCAAAGCGTTGGTAGCCCCGTGGTCGATGGGTCTCTCGTCCGAGGTCTCTTTACGTTTAGTACCTTGTTGTGGTATGGTCTTGGACGGAATGGCGTTGGTGTTATTTGATTGGACATCTTCACCCTTTCCCTTGGTCCAAGGCGTGGTTGCACTCGAGGTTGGCTGTTGGTCCTCGGGCTCGGAGTTCGCATGCGTCTCTTCCGCAAGGGGGGTCACAAGGGGGATGTCTTCTGCGGCGCCTGCGTTGAAATGGACATCATTGTCATCTGCCTTATAATCCACAGTTCCATCGTTGCCCATGTCAACTTCTCCATCACCGTAGATGTCAATATCGAAATTGTCTTCGTCTGCAGAAGCCATTGTGCGAGATGCTTAGAGGAGAGGGGAGGTTAGAACGCAGTCGGATTTTCTGTCTGCCACAGATCTATGCACAAGACGGCCAAGTCAATAGGCAGGACATAAGAACCAGGTAATTTCTGTGAGATACATGTGGAATTAGCCAGAGATACATGAAGAGGGTTCACAAACAGAAGACACTTGATCTGAGATCCAACCTGTCTCGTGTTGCCACACATCAAAGCATCCCTCGCCGCCAGACTGCTCCGGCTTGAACCTCAGGACATGAATCACCCAACAAGAAATACGTACAGCACTTGAGACTCTTGTACAATCCAGTGTGGTTCTTCATTGCAACATCAACGGGCACTTTTCAATGTCATAATACATGAAGCAGGCCAGCTGTCTTCCAGAAGCTTGTAATACAGTTGTTTCAATGTAATCCTAGCAAGTAATAGGAAATAAGAAATGACTCCGAGGGTTTCTCCTTTGCTGGTACCGAGTCCGATCGCACTGCAAAGTTAGACACGAGGAGGACCGGCAAGAGGTGGTGAGGCGAAGTGCTAAGAGCGTGGTCTGGAATAGAAGGATTCTCGCAGTCAGGGATGAAAGTCTTTCGAAAGGAAGGTCGCGCGTGGCAGTGATACGTAGAAATATGGTCTGTAGCCAGGCCCGAGGAGTAAAAGGAGTTTATGGAACAACTGATGGGGTGAGTTGGTGAGGCAGATTGGAGTTGAACAGGAGACACGGAGTCAACGTGCTGAGACTTGAGAGCGCAGTTTGTCCATACGAGCCAAGGCTGCTTTTAGTTTCCCAAGCTTGGCCGGCCCCTGGCCTCCTTTAGCCCACTATCCTCACCAGCCTCACCAGCCTGAGGCCGATTTCAGTTGCGCAGCCTCACTCACCTTCCTCTTGCTCCCCTTCCTTTTGCAGGCTTGGAATCCTGCTCCCCTATTGCCCCCATATCCTGCCTAACCAACCTAGGCCTATTATCACGGCAAAATTTGAGCAAAGGGCCACTGAGTAGGGCGACATGAAGACTGTTCCACGCCAATTTGTGTTCAACCAAAAGAACCAATGCTACGTCCTCCTCCATCGACTTCAGACACCCTTGCCTTTCATCAAGGATCTCCTTCCTCATGGAAAGGCTACAATTCATTTTGGTTCATCTTGAAGTTACCAGCTCGATATCTGCCCCACGAACTCGTCGTTGTAAGGTCAACTGACTACAGCACCACAGCTTCCAAGAGATTCAGGCCCCAAATGAGTCCCTGCAAGGATTTCGATTGCGGGGAATCGCTTGCTTTGGTCAACAGCCGCCTCCATTGCACCCCTTCCTGTGCTTAGACTCGCTTCTATGTGACTCGTCTGGATTATTGGTGAGGCTGGGCAGTTGAGAAACATCAAAAATCATCAGACCTGACTTTTTCCAGCATTGTTCTTTCATCAGTAGTGTCTGACAATCGATTAGACTCGTGGGTAAAAAGAAAAATATGTACCTGCTGACACCAGCGCCATGGCTACGCCAACAGTGGACATGCAGGCATTGCGCATCAAGCTCACCAAAGTGGTCGCTCAAGAGAGAGATGCAGACCTGTAGAAACTTCTACATGACAGCCAAACGAGCTTCTACAACCACGAAAACGACCTCGGCCCGCTTCTTGGCAAAGCGATCAGTATCGGATATGAAGGTTGCATCAGACTGCTGGTCGAAGCTGGTGCTAAAATCGACATTGGTGGCAGCAAGGGCCAAATGCACATTGCTATCGCCAGTGCGAATGACAAAACCGGGAATGCAATAATCAGTCCGCTTTTCAACCACGGATGTGAACTTGAAGCTAAGATATTACCGAGAGACCGCCGTTAATCTACGCTTGTCTGCGTGGGCAAAATGATGTTACCACTACCCTCCTTGGTCATGGAGCCGATCCGAACATCGAAGACAAAGCCGGCAAGAACACGCTGCATATTGCGATGCCTTACCGATGCTTCTTCCCAAAATTGAAACCTAAATAAAAGGACAGCCAAGGTCGTGAAGGTCGAACACCTCTTCTGTGGGCGGCCGCAAAAGGGCAACTTGCTTCGGTCGGAGCATTGCTGTATATAGGAAAGGGTCTCGTCGATGTGAACCAGACAATTGACCAGGGACATTCGGCGCTGCACTTGGCGGCGAGGCATTACGAACCCGAGATGATCAAACTCCCCATAGCTTCAGGGCTAAAGTTGAAGCAAGAAATGACGGTGGCTGAACTCCTCTGCTGGTGCCTACGGAAGAAGGCAACAATACTGCTATTGATGCCTTGTTGACCTCCAAAGCCAACGCCAACGCCTGAACGTCGTCTGGGATGACTCCCCTCCATTGGGCTGCAGAGAGTGGTCAGTTGGGTGCCGTCAATCGCATTTTGAGAGAGCGAGACGGCCATAAGAACAGCAAGGATGGTTTCGACAGCACTCCTCTCATTCGCACGGCCTAAGAGTGGCCACTGGGATATTGAGAATGCATTTCGACCTTATGTACTCGAAGCGCCAAGGAATCGTCTTGCCAAAAAGGCTTGGGAACGGTTTTGGGCAGCCGTGGCCAATTATTTCGAAGATAAAGATGCTAATGGCGGTATCAAGAATGCGAAAAGCAATACCACCGTTTGGCAGATCCTCTACTCTCGAGATGTTAAAAAATCCAGAAAAATTTGCTATTCCAAGCGTCTTGGACAACATTGGAATGAAAAAGCCGCTTACTCACCGGATTCATCTCCCTGCAAACAATATCTCATGGCTCGAAGCTCTACTTACAAAATATTATCTGAAAGGAAACGGCAGAGATATAACAATACTGAAGACTCTCCTTCGACTGCTTGGAAGACAACAACACCGAGGCGCCGAGATTCATTCGCGGTTTATGCGGCCGACCTATAAGCGCCTGTGGGTATCTCCAAGACGAACACCTGAATCGATTCCAGTAGCATCGTCCGGATTTTCAGCGCTAGCAGCGGTGCTCCCAGTCCATCAAGAGGAGAGAAGGAGGAGGAGGTAATGGTCTTATTGATGCCCTATCTTCGTTGGGAGACCGACAGAAATCGAGCATCACTAACTCAGACCATACGAAAGCCAGCAGCTAATACCCATGCCCTGGACGACGTGGAGTTGTCTAAATTCGCCAAGGACGGGCTCCTTATTCATGGCTATGTCGGAGAAGTTGGCGGACCTTAATCCTCGCCGGACGTTGGATTTCAAACATCGCAGCACCAAGACAAGTCACCAAGACAAGTACCAGGTTGTGTATCGATTTTGCAAGAAGAAAAGGAAACAACTTAAGATCTTCATGGTCGACCAGTTGTGGCTGATCATATTCGGCAATCTACTTATTTCCTGGCTCCTAGAGCGATGGCGGCAACCGCACATGGATCCTCTCAATCTCTTTGAGGGTGTTATTGAGGACGTCAACTCCACCACGCGGCCTCTCGTCAGAATGTCTTTGAGCTGGTGACCGTTATCACGGAGAGATGGACGGATCTCTTTGATCGACAATACTGGGACAACGACGACCTGCGTGATGATAATGATATATAGGGCAGCGATAATCTACTCTTCGCTGAGATGTTTGAACTAAACATTGAACGACTGACAAGGAAAGAGACCAGGCTCTTTGGACATTTTAGAAAAGCATCCTCTTACCGGCTCAGAGGACATGATGTAAACACCATTCCTTTCAATTTCCAACAGGAAATGCTGCAAGATGACTACTCTTCTGGGTGGTCATCTGATGAGTACCAAAACGCCCCTCATACAATGAATGGGGACATGCATTCGCGGCATGATCATAAAACTTCCGATTCTTTCGTCAATGATCTGTTGAACATCGATAAAGAGGCAGCTCTGCCGGTGGATTGTAAGGACGTCGAAGACAAACTGGACGTTCTCACGAGTGTGCTTCCACAACAGAGGTAAGTGCTGAATGACCCGGACGCCACCCTTAGAGCTTCCAAGAATATGGCCCAGTCACAGCAATTTAACCAGTTCAACAGGGTTGGCGAGCAGCAACGCTTTTTGACCTGGACATTGTCGATGTTGATCGCATGGGCTGACAAGCCAAAAGCGTCAATGACAATTTGACCCAAATACTAGACCTCAATCAGAAGCATGCCAATGCAGTAGGAGCAAGAGTTCAGCGCAAGCAAGCTGAAGAGGCTGCGAGACAAGGATGGACGATTATGGTGTTCACTATTGCGACAATTGTTTTCCTGCCGCTGAGTTTTCTCACGAATTTTTTATTTTTATTTTTATTTTTATTTTTTTTTTGCGATCGACGTCATTGAGTTTCCCCGTCCTGCCGGAAGTGGTGCTGGAGAGTTGCATCTGGGTTGGGTGCTCCAGTCCAAGCAGGCCGGCGGCCGATGTCGTCAATGGAGTCGTCCAGGCGAGGAGGAAGCCGGTATGCGTGGCGGTTGGGGCGTGTTGGAACGGAAATGACGGACAGATCAGCTGCAACTGAGGATCCAGAGGTAGGCAACGGGGGTTTGGGATCTATCAATGAAGCCGCCTTGGGTAATACATTGCTTCGCCACTGGCCGGATGCTACCAAACATACCTCTACATAGGAATGACTGGAGTCAGCGAAAGGAGCTATACGTCGTGGAAAGTTGACCGAATTATTAAACCAGGAACGTATTGGCTGTCAGATGTGAAGTCAGTGAAGGAGGCCGATAAGCGGTTATATCGAGGCCTGTATAGCGTTGCTAGGGTACTGGGTATATAGCACAAAGTCCTACAAGTCACAGCCCAACCTTATTAGTATGGGGAGTCTCCTGGTCTCTACCTCATACAGTAAGGACTCCACACTGTGGACTTACCCACCTCGCCAGGCAATTGCCGCCAAGCTCTGGAGATTGTCCCCTGAACCCGGGCGCAGGCAAATTCGCCAATTAGTTAGAAGCCACCTAACACAGTACGGAGGGCATGTGTACAGCTTTCTCGACGCCCATTCTTCAACTCCTCACTCCCAGTCGCAGGCGCAACTTGCCAAAACCCACAGAATTCCATTCTCGATCCATTCAGACAAGAATCAGTTTCAATCTGTGTACTTGTCCTTGTCTCCTCGACTGACGCCGCCCGAAATCGAGTCGCACCCACCTTTCTCTTCCTCGCCCCCCAGAAACCAAAGCGAATCCCTCTCGAATTGAAAAGGGGAAAGAAAAAGAAAGGATGTCTGAAATACTGCAAGAGATTGCCGATGTGCCCAGGGAATTCTTCAAAGATGGAACTCAGTTTATCAACAGATGTACAAAGCGTACGTCCTCCCGCACCGGCTCTCACAATCACAGTCGAAAAGCACCCATGATGCAGCAGCGTCGAGATGCATAGCTCGAGAAGCTCTGTGTCTCCAACCTGCGCATCGCCGGTCAATATAGCGCCTGGTTTCCTCAAGCTGCTTCGAACCACTTACTTTGCATATGGCTAACATTTTCCCCCAACAGCCGACCGCAGGGAATTCATCAAGATCTCACAGGCCGTAGGCATGGGATTCTTGATCATGGGCGCGATTGGATACTTCATCAAGCTGAGTGCGTTCCTTCCTTTGCTTTCCCCCAAAATCCTGTCTTCCTCTTCGAGATGGGGCAGGATAGAAAGAGACAGAGTGAGAAGAGTCTTTTGCGAAAATTCCAACCCCCAAAATGAACCAATAAACAAGGACAACTGGCTGACAACCAAACCCGGCTTGGGCTTTCCTGGCTATGCAGTACATATACCTGTCAACAACGTACTAGTGGGATGATGATGGTGCCAGCCAGCCAACGAGCAACAAGGACCTGAGAACGGAACAAGAAAAACAGCTGGGGCAGCTCATAATCATCTTCAATACATGCCTACGACTACTTGTCACCGCCGCCACCACCAGAATAACAACAACCTGAGCGTTTTGTATTACTATTCATCATCGGGGACCCAGGGAGCGAGCATTCTGTCTGTCGAGCAGGAAGGAAACATGTAGGATGCAGGAGACAAAACCAACCGATTGATTAGGCTGGCCGTGCAAACCTCTTGAACTTCTACAACAAAATCGAAAATGCGCTGTGCCAGACAATTGGGGGCCGAAACTTTCTATGTTATTTTTGCTGCCGAGAGCAAGGCCATCGCCATCCACGTACAGCAATCAAGAAGCACCCCGTATATCAGCACGTATCCTCATGATTCCCGCCCGTAATATACCCTGCATAGGATCGTCCCAGGTTGCGTGTTTCTGTATTCGTTTGTCGTGCGCTAATATCCATCACTCACAAACACTTCTTCCCTCTTATAATCCTTGTAAGTCAGAAAGTCAAAAGCCCTTCAAGTAAATAGAGGGCGTGCAGAGAGGAGGATTTTCTTTTTCCGTCTTGTGGGAGCCGCTCCGCGTCTCTCGTCTTTCATCCGTAACTCATCTGCATTCCAGAACCGCTCAGTCCCGCAGTTGGGATAGCTTTGCATGCGTGCCCTGAAGGGAACAAGAGTCTCGGTCAACTCGAAAAGTTTATTGTGTAGATGGGCCAGCTCCGCGCTGTTCTTCGTCCTCCCCTTCCGGCTCGGGCCATGCGCCCCTTCTCAGACTCAACCGTCTCCTCATCCTCCTCATGACCTGGCCCAACTGGTCCAGTGGTTGTCACAAGATACTTCCTCCTCCGCCGGGCTCGTCGTCGCCCAGCCTGGTCGGCCTGGTGATACGGCTTCTCAAGCCCCTGCCCTCCGCGCGACTTCGCGTTGTTGGGGAACTGCTCTTGGTGGTATCACGGCGTCTTGCGCGGCGGGAACGATGCATCGCCTCATCAAAGTCCTCTCGTGGTTGTAGGCGGTGGTTGTAGTTTGAGGACATGGCTGGAAGGGCTTCGTCGTCTTCGGCGCCGTCGTTCCAGGAATGCACCGAGACTGTGCCCGTAGCCATACCCCAGCCGTTCCAGGACGTCGCTGCGCACGTCATCAGTACATCCATCCAAGCTTGGAGAGTTTGAAAGAAAGCGATAAATTGTGTGGAGAGAGCTTGAGACTTACCGGCCAAAACCGGCGCCGTGGGACTCCAACTTGCATCCCTGACGCATGTCTTCCACACACTGTTATGATGCCCATGCAACTCATATCCATACCCTCCACCACCGAACCCGTCGCTTCCATCCGCCCTCGGCCTCGTGTTTCTCGTGGCTTCATAGACATCAATCGTGGCCTTACGCGTCCCGTCCATGTTCCAAATGTAAACTTTTCCATCTTCGCTTCCGCTGTAAACATAGCGAGAGTTTGAAGACCCAGGGGGCGAGAAATGGCATCGGATCAGTGTCTTGAGGACGGAATGGCCCCGGAAAGTCACCACACTGCAGTCTTTGGGATTAGGGACGTACTCGTCTTCGTCATATGAGGAGAATCGATAGTCAAAGTTCGTGGTGTAGGAATGGATGTTGATGTTCGCAAACTCGTTGGGGGAAATCATTTTCCGCAGGTCCCAAAGTTTCATCATTTGTTCCTTGCCGTTGGAGAGGACGTAGCGACCGTCACCCTTCGAGTCGACATATGTGAGACCCTCTGTATGACCGACAAATATACCGGCGGGACGGCCATCAGCCATTGATCGTCTGTCCCAAACTTGCAATGTTTGGTCATCACTGCCCGAGTAAAGGATGTGAGGCGAGGATTTATCGCCGAAACAGACCGCGTTCACGTCATCTTCGTGGTTTGATAGACGAACGGTCGATTGACGGCGTTCAAGATCATATACCACGACTGAGTGATCCGACGTTCCAGCAACAATCTCTCTTCCGTCACCGCTGAAACGCAAGGACCAGATACCGAATCCATGCCGGCCCATATACCCGTATGTCGGTCGCCCCATTCCTGACCCCGGAGCGAAGTTTGTGAAATCCAACAAAGTGTGTTCGGAATTGTCCGTTGGGTCTGTCGGAGCGAGACACACCGTATGTCGAATCGAGGAATATGCCAGCCATTTATTATCCGGGCTCAACGTCGCGTCTGTAATCGTCCACTGTCCAAAGGGGTATTCCACAGTCTTGTAGTATTTCCACTCGTAAGGGTTGGATGTGTCGTACATCCGGACCTTGAAATTCTGCGTGCAGCTAAAGAAGAAGTTTCCATCGTCCGAGAATTGACCCGAATAAGCTCTTGAATCATAGTGGATGATTTTATCAGCAGTCGAGGTGTTGGGGACTTGGTCTTGGGCGATGAGGTTGTTTTGCCGTCTCATAGTCGATCGTGCCTCTGAGCCCAGACGTCGCCATAGCAGGCGTTCACTGACCGTGCGCCTTCTCTTGCGCAGGATGTCCAAGTACGAGTCTCGACAGCCATAAATGCCTGAGTTCATCAATGCTTTGCCAGCCTCACTCGGAACTTTAGGGAAGCGGTCGCCTTTCGGTTTTTGTCGTTGGGCCCGCCGACGGCGACTGAAACCACCGTACTCGTGCAGGTCGTCGTCGTCGTCGTCATCGTCGTCAGCGAAGAGGCTTCGACCGGTCGGGCCTACTAGGCGGTAGCGGCTAAGAATAAGCTGGCGAAATGGGGCACTGGCACTGAGTAGGCCGCGGATGTCGTTGAGGGTTACTATTGCAATAGCGGGTTAGAGGAAACGAGGTGCATGGGCGAAGCAATGGTGAGACACAGAACACCAACCCTGAGCTGGACGATCGCGGGTTCTAGTTTCCGTTGCAGTGCCATCGTTCTCCGTTTCAGTGCGGTCTCCCTCATCTTCCTCCTCATCCTCCTCCTCCTCCTCATAGATTATTTCGACGCGGCGCAAGGTTTCCTCGGCATCTGCAGCCAGTCAAAAGCCATACATCTCTCAGGATATGGATGGGCTCTACCGGCGAAATCCACATCGCTGTCTTCGTCCTGCATGACACTTGTTGCATCGGTACTTTGTTCCTCGGGGGCGGGGTGATAACTTCCGCTATCATCATCGTCTTCGTCTACATCAAGGATATCGAAGATGGCTGGCGAGGAGCTCAGTCTTTCGCTAGGATCTGAGGAGTTGGCCATGGCTTAACAGTGACATGTCAGTCAGGGAAGGGATGGGGGAAAGAAGGCAGACCGCAGGCTGCGGAGAGTGATGAGGTATTGACATTAGCCGGGCGTTCGCCTTTACGCATGGTTAGTAAATGGTCAAATGCGGGACATTGAAATCCTTATCTCCGAACTCAGCTGCTCGGAGCTCACGTGGGGCGTCACCCATGTCCCGCCGCTTTTACTCAAAGAGCGCAACAGCTCGGCAGGCTGCTCCCCCAATACCAACTTCATTCTCCTCACAACAAGATCCATATGCGAACAACACATATTAACTCTTCCAAGGACTATCATTTGCGCGCAGTACGAGAAAGCATCGGCCCTTACACCCAGCTCCCTAGGGTGGAGCCGAATGTGCGCGCAGAGTCTCTATCCAGGCAGGTTGGATGGACTAAAGAAGGCCAAAAATATAAAGAAGCCATGACAACTCGAGATAAGAGCATTGGAGGTGCCTCATTCTTTCTAGCCAAAGCCAATTAAGGAAAATGAGAAAAGAGGGACAGATGTATCCCGACAAAAGCCATCAGAGCAGGACAAGAAAGCAATATATTCATTGCCTGGTCTCCAGAAAGGTTTTATCTCCCATCATTCCTCCATTGAACAGAGAGAAGCAGTCCATTGTCGGCTAGGTAAAATAGATGACAACCGCCGAAGTTACCAGAGGGCGATACTGAGAGGTCAGTTTTGAATCACTATATCGAGCCTTGCGATATCCTTGTCAGTGGATAGCGTCATCTTCACCCAGCCCTGAATGAGGTAGAATCCGTGCCCCAGGTTGGCGAAGGTCCGTCCCTCCCTTTTGCCTCCCCCGTGGCTGTCTCCTAGCTCATAGTCTGGAGTCTGACTATGTGCTCGTACTTGGACTTGGACTTGGACTTGGACTTTGCGAACACGGTCTGGCGTACTATTCATTACCTCGTGGCATTGCCGAGTGAGCGAAAGAGAGTAGGAGGACAAAGGCGATGATAGGACGAGAGAAAAACGAACAGAAAGAACAATCCCAAAGATGATGCAGAGGTTCGTAATCGTCTGACGTTTACAGTCACTCAGGTAAGTAGGTAAGCAAGTGAGGGAGCAGATTCAGGATTTCATTATGACAACCCCTATACCGAGTTCGAGTTCGAGTTTGCAATGCCACGCCCGCCCTCATCTACATACTCTGTACCTCTGTCCTGCCTAACCCAGCTCGCCCAGACAGCCACCGACCAGCGATCCTGATGTTTTGTTTCTCTCAGCTTTCGTGCTGGAATCCATGTCGATAGCCTGGAGCGTCGCCCTCGTCTCGACCATCCATCCACATGTCATCCCCTGTTTCCACAATCATTTGAAATTCCAGTCGTACACCTAGAAAGCTCTGCGGTGCTACTGCCCCCGAAAGCTCGGCCTTCTTTCATTTGCGCTGAGCATAACAGAATACACAGGTCATGCGGTGTCCTCAGAAGCTGTGATCGCAGGCAACATTTCCCATCTCTGCCTGTCTAGTTGGCACTTGTTTCCCCCAGTTTTCTCACGGCTCGCCCATCCTATCCTGGCGCTGCTTAGTCTCACGGCGCCCATTTGGATCGCTCCTGCCTCAATCAAGATCTCGTGCACACCTTCATCGTAATCCAAGGAGTAGAATCCTTCATACTCAGCTGTGAACGTCTTCGTGTCGAGATCGCTCTGTTTCAATCTCTCAAACACCGTCTCGACCAAGACCCGTCTTTCCACTTATGCGGGCGGGTTGACACACTTCGGCCACCAATAGTCCTGCACAAACATCGAGCTTACTGAACTCGCCGCAGACCCTTGTCAAAATGTCCGGGCTGTGTTGGAGGTACCCCGATAACTCCTCCTGAGGGTGCTGTTGGGCTTGCAGTGTCGTCGTCGACTTCAGGAATGTTTCCTGACGTGGTAGCTCCAGTGGCTGCGAGTCACTGCTAGATTCTCCCTTTGTTGCTGATTTGACTTTACACTCACTGTCAGCATTAAATCTTTATTTGTCGGCGGGACATTGCGTCGAAGAAACTGTCTCCGAAGTTGTAACCATATTCACATCCACCTCACCTTCGGGACTCATCTTCGATGCCATCGAGCTAATGCAGACAGCAAAGCAGGCTGTAAGGATTGGCAGAATAGATCTCTTGAGTGTAAAGCGAGGATTGATCAGTTGTTGAAGAGGAAGTTTGTTGAAGAAGAAATGTAGAGTGGGTTTAGAATAAAGAAAGGCAGAAGATGAAATACCAGCAAGTAAAACCGCCTCCAAGTTCTCGCACAAGACAAACGTACCCTGGCGGAATATGGGAAGCACCGCCAGGAAGCAGTGAAATATGCAACGGATATCAAAGGGCGATGTTCCCAGTATTATTGTATATATATTGTCTTCCTCGGACTCTGTCCAGCCTTCAGATGCTGGTGCTGAACAAGCATACTCCTTTGGATAAGAGCTTTTCCGTAAGTACCGTCTATGCCGAAAAAAAAGGAGAATGCCAGCCGGAACCATTCAACGCCATGCAGATAACATTCCTCGTCATCGAGAACATAGGTCAACACCAATTTTGTGTCGGTTTCCGGACGTACCTAGTATGCTTTTGGCGTCTCCCTTGAAGTCGAAAAGGCCCCCACTCGCGGCGGCTCCTGACGATGCCAGATCCAGACACTTCCAGTTAACGTTCAAATACTTTTAGCTACCATTATCCAGCGTACATGCCGATGGGGCATCCGTCCACCCGGTCAACCTGTTGGCGATGTCACTCGCATAGCAGTGCGTGGCCGAACCCTTGCCCAAATCCCCTGACGGATCAATCTCGCCAGAGTTGTACAGTCGTGCCGCCCGATAGTACCCCTCGGCGTAGTTGATGTCGGCAACGTCAGCTTGAGCGTTGATGTCGGCTGCGTACCCGTGGCCGCTAGGCGTGCCAGCAACTACAAGCCAGAAAGGTTAGCTAGACGTGCACAATGCGTTGATGTTGTCCTGTGTTTGTATCTCACCTCCATCCGAAATCATGCCTAGAATCTGGTCCTTCGGGCACGGATTCTGCACCTTCCCATCATCGTTGCAAGAGTGATTCCCTCGAAAAGATTGCAGGATTCCCGGGTTCCTCACGGTGCCGTCCGGTGAGACAGTCGTCTTGGCTCTTACACAACCCCCAGTCTCCTGCATCACGGCGGCCAGAATGAACCGGTGATCTACCCGGGTCTGTTGTGATATTTGTTTAATCGCGTCATAGAGGTCTTGAGTTTCTTGATCCGAGTTGTTGGGTTGGTCGTAGAGGTGGTTGCAGCTTCGAGAAATGGTTTTCTGGTTGGCGACCCACATGTCATTGAAGGATATCCACGATAGACTTGACGGCCATCCTGAAGCTATCGAGCCGTTCCCTGTGTATTGTGTATAACTGTTCTGGCCACCTGTTTTCAAACCCCGGATCATCAGTCCTTGTCCCTACTGGCGGCGGCAGATCGAATGTGCATACCGTCGTAGTCATTCCAGAACCCATCACTACCCAGCTTTCCTTGTACCACATCGGTGGCGCGTTTTATGAGAGGGACAGCCGAAGTAGAGGCGGCGAGAAGAGACGTAAGAAGGACCTGGGATGACGATCAGCACTAAAGGTCTTCGTTGCCCCAGCACATCAGAGGTCCAACATACCAGCCTTAACAGAGCCATTATGCGTCAAATCTTACACCGTCCTTGCTCAAGTACCACGAAAAGGAGAGTTACAACTTCCAGACGGATAAAGGCTGGATCTGTATGTAGTAAAGCCGCAGAGCGAGGGATAGAGAAGCGGGGAAATGCGAAGGGAAAGGACACGAAGGACGACGGAATCGAAATCTTCTCACTTCTTACCTAGATATGATATGCAGACACAGCGGAGAGATGGGCCCGACAAGGAGCTGTCGACACAGGCAAGTCCACATGGAAAGGGAGCCACGAGTACCGTCGCAGCCGCATTGTTTCAGAAAGGCCAAGCAGCTCCACCGCCATCGAAGAGATGATCAGGCTATGATGCTATCTTGCACCCTGAGGCCACCCGAAATAGGAACGAGGGCTGTGATGAGAGGCTGTTCAAACTGGGCCTGATACCCACCAAGGATATGTGTGTGCGTGTGTAAGTAAGTAGGACGGCATACAAGTACAAGGATCATTCCTCCGGACTCGTATGTATCTAGGAATGTTGTGGCTTTTCCATCGAGGGTTGGGCGGGGACGGTGGCCGCACCTCAGCACCCAACAGACCCGAGATGTCTCCATCTCGCCCATCCACTGGGCAACGCGATGAGATCCTTCGTGGTTTTGTGCGCGAGAGGGAAAAAAAACTTCATTTGTTTGAGGGGAGTGGAACCGGTGGATGCCCGTCGTTAGTACTGCAGTTGAAAAAAGTCCAAAGTCCACTTGCGGTCCGCCGTGGCCAAAATCCTGTTGATCCTGGTCTCCAGGGGGTCAGTAAGTAATATCAGTCTGACTCAACCTGCCCAACCAGATGCAGATGACTGCGTAGGATACGCAACTTCTGAGTAAGGGTTGCTGACGGTGGGAATGGTATATTACCTATGGCGCGATCAGTGCTGTTGTCAAGCTGGGACAAGAGCTGTTGAAGCTTTTGATGTCGTAGATATTGGCTCTCGCAAGCTCTCGGCGGTGCTCGCCAAATGCAGGTCCCAGTCGCCGCTTCTGTGGTGGCGGCGTTGGGCCGGTTGAAACCGCTTAGCCACCGCCACTGCCCATGTGCACTTGTACGAAGAACGACGGAGAACGAGGGAAACACACACATAAGGCGCAGCCTTGTGCCAGCCAAGGCCACTACGCAAAATGGACTGAGCCCTTCTTCATCGTGCTCTTTCTAGGCACTGACACAACGTCTTTTCTCGCCATCACTATTTCGAGATCGACCAATACGGAGTATTGACGGTAAAACGATTTCCACGCTCTCTTCAAGGCAGCATCATCGATAATATCCTTAACGAAGCTCTCCCACTAAGTCCGTCCCTTTTCCATCC